GTGTCGGAGCTGCAGCTCCGCTCCCAGCCCCTCAACCACTCGCTCTACGCCAGCACGGGCAGAACGAGCCCCGGGCCCGGCGGTGAAGGAGACGTCGCGGTCCCAGCGCCACGGGCCGGGCCCCCGGGCTCTGTACCGGGACCCCCTTCAACACACGGCGCCCCGCCTCCTCCGTGACGTCACTTCCTCTCCGTACCTCCCCTCCGGTTCCCGCGCTCGGCTGCCCTCGTGAGGCGCCCGCAGGAATTGACCGATTTCGGGCGTTTTCACCCCAAAATTCCCCCAGCAGCCGCTCCCCCCTCGCCCGTTTCGGCCCAAGGACGCCGCGGGCCATTGGGTAAGCACAGAAAGCACACATAGAGCGGCAGTTTGGGGGGTTTTCCCCTTGTTTTTGGCATGTTTCTGAAGTCTGGTCCAGAGGTTGGACAGAAAGTCATTTTTAGCCCCTAAACGTTGCCAAAAACGAGAGCTCGTCCCCTTCCTTTACTAGGGGCAGGTTTATACCATTATTCAACACTAAGCAAGGAGAAACGTTGTTCCCAGAGCACGTGTTCAACATCCACGGCCCAGAAAACGAATGAAAAGGGACTATTTGAGGCAGGAATCACATGTAAAGGACTCTGTGTCCTAACTTTCAAAGAAGGAGACGTACAAATGGTTGTGCAAAATCTTAATTTGCTAAAATATTTTACAGAACCGGTACATGTCAATGTAGAAATCAGTAAAAAAAGGACCCAACCAATAAAGAAACCAAGAACCTGCCTTCATGTTATAGTGAAAACAGGAGTTCCGCTGTCCCTTGGAGCTGAGGGGAGCAGAGCTGAGGCTGAGCCCGCCCTGAAAGAGACATCGAGCTACAAAAATGATGTAAATCAATAATTTAGCATCAAAAAATACCCCCCCCCCAACCCCAGTGTAACAAAAGTGGAGAGACGGAGGCTTTGTACAAGAGGCGTGTTTAAAAGGCTTCAGGATTCACACGCTTTTGGTTTCATTGTTGTGTGTGTTAAGGATGGGTTTTGTACAACGGTTTATAATACAATGGCGGGAAGCGTTGGGAAGGCCAATGGCACACGCTGCTTCCCAGGAAAGCCAAGAAAACCAACCAAGAAACCCCAAAAAAGGTTCAACGTTGTGCAATGTGCTGCCCCCGGTTCCTGATGGCAGCAGTCCCTGCGTCCGGCTGCGTTTCCAAACCCACAGGGGTTTAAGAAGCACAGAAAGGAGGAAAAAGAAGGCAAAAGTCAGCGGATATCCAGCATCTCGTGTCATGGGATTGCGTTTTGGTTTTGAAACACTGGGGGTGATAATTTCAGAATCAAAAAATGCTCTTTTTGTTGTGGGTTCTTCCTTTTTCTTCCCGTCCCCCCACCCCAAACCCCATTTCTCCTCTTGCTTAAATAAATACATGGCATCCAATGCTCGATGGGATAAATCCTGGTGGTGACACACCTCCGGGGCTCTCCCGGGGCTCTCCTCCCTCAGGGTGTTTCAAAGCCTGCCACACGGTATCCCGTTTGGTTGGTGATCACGCTCCCGTTCTGCCCCTGCGGTGGCTGCACGCTGTAGTTAGCGCCCATCCACGCTGCTGAAGACTGTGTCTGGCTGTTGGGGAAACTGTGTTAGGAGATGAGTTGGTAAAGAAGGAGAAGGGAATGCAGAATGGGGGGCTGTGGATCCAAATCCCATCCCAAATCAAATCACCAGTATCTGAAGGGGGCTACAAGGATGCTGGAAAGGAACTCTTCATCAGACATTGGAGCCACAGGACAAGGGGCATGGCTTTAACCTGCCAGAGGGGAGACTGAGATGATCTCTGAGGCAGAAGCTCTTTCCTGTGAGGGTGCTGAGTCGCTGGCACAGGGTGCCCAGAGAAGCTGTGGCCGCGCCATCCCTGGCAGTGTTCAAGGCCAGGTTGGACACAGGGGCTTGGAGCAACCTGCTCTAGTGTGAGGTGTACCTGCCCACGGCAGGGGGTTGGAGCTGGATGAGCTTTAAGGTCCCTTCCAACCCAAACCAGGGGCTGGGATTCTATATAACACAGCATTGGGGTGCCTTGGCAGTTCGTATACTGCTATGGACTGGGATTATCACTTCCCCCA